TTCTAATATTTAGTTAATCAACAATACTAAAACATAAAACATTAAGGTAATAATATTAAACATAAAATAATATTTATACCAAAATATTGTTTAATGTAATATATAAAACACAAGTTAAATATCAATGTGTCCCACAACCTGTATGCTTCAGTGCATTGGTTGTCGGCGCATACCCTGCCGATCGGCTATACTTTCAGGATCATCCTCATCCCGTCGCCTCTTGATTTGAGGATGCACTACAGTATGATCATCTGAAAGGCTAGCTGGATCTGTAGAGGAGTCCGTTGGGCAAACCGTAAGGTACAAAATATAAAGTATTTTCTAGGTATATAATTAATATATATATATATATATATATATATATATATATATATATAGAGAGAGAGAGAGAGAGAGAGAACAGTAATATAAAAGATAATTATTTTTATACTCAAAACTTGCGTCTCAGCTAGTACCTGAATAGGATCATGTGTCTCTGGCAGACCAGTATCACAGTCTACCGCCTCTGTGATCGGTGATGAAAAAATCTATAACAAACATACAAACAGATTAGATATTAATAACTAATATTTTGAGTATAATATTGGTGATAATAATGTTAATACATCCAAACCTGTATCTCAGTGGGCAGCGGTACGAGCTCATCGTCGGGGTGCTCTAGGGGAACTCTGAGGTGGACTGGACTAGATTAAGGTTGTGCAGCCTCCCCGAAAGTCTTGTCTCCTTCATAACATAATGAATAAATATTATCTTTTTGCTAAACAATAATACTATAATAGTGACATTTTAAAGATCGATAGGAAAATATACTAACATGATTAGATTCGTAGCTCAAACGTCTACCGTTGTGCACATATTGCACTGTACGGTCCTCTGCATCCCTCGATCTGCCTAGAAGATCATAAAAGAATGCATCCCTATCATAGGACATAATGTCGGCGCCCGCACTCGATAAAGTAGCCGATTGGCTAAACTGTAAAGTCCTTGGTGATACTAGTCTAAATGTAGGCATATCACCACCAGTATCGTTTGCCTCACCATGGTCATCCAGAAAACCCTCGCCAATATCCTCCATGGGTGCCTCAACGCCCCCTTGCTGGCCACCCCATCCGCACCGGCCACCCCGACAACGCGGGCTACCCCTTCCTCTCTGGCCACGCTTGGTACATCTACCCTGTGCTGGGGGCGCGCCTGGCCCATGATGGTAATCCTCAAGCGGAACATATACATGATCAAAACCTAATCGTGCATCTAATAGTTGACAATTGAAATTGATTTTATAATATTTTATCCTTATGGATATGTCGTCTAAGTGTGTCAATGCAACGAAGTAACAAAGTAATTGATTCGTTGATTAAAACCTTATAGTCATGATATCTAAAGGAGCATCGCACTAAAAGAAATAGAAGCAGTTGATTGATTGATTAATTGGAGTTCTATAGGCATGATATCTAAATTAACGAGGCATATGTTGTTACATCCTATAGGCATATTGTCTAAGTGTACACAATAGTAAACATAGAAACAAGTATGGCAAATACTTGTGCTAACATGGTTGAGAGATGTACAAGTGAAATGTGCATGATCCCTATAGGCATGTGTGTAGAATAGGAGCATGTCAAACAAATAGCAAGCAAAGCAGTTAAATCCTATAGGCAAGTTTTCTACCCGTTCATGCAAGAAATCAGAATACCCCAACCCCACTAATCTCCCCAACGTTTGTTTACAAATTATTACAGGCCCAAAATAATGAATATGGGTATAAATATTACACTGTTGGCTCAAGAGCAGGCCCAAATGAAAGTAACCCAGCAGTGCCTGGGTCTTCAACAGGTTCATTTTCACTCAATAGCAGACCTAGATCCAAACGCATCTCAAACAGGGGAGTATGTCCATTTGCATAGCCTAGGGCCACACATGAACTCATGCCGAACTCGTCGATTACAGATTAACCACTTAACCATATAAATTAACGAACCACACATAGCAATCAATTGAACAGCCCTGAAGCAACCTTATAGGGACAGGATTACATGTCATTCAACAAGATTCACATAAAAGCATATTGGCACTTGCATTTTTGAAGCTAGGATGACAGGGTTGGTCAAGCAAGGGCTTGAATATGAAACTAGGGAACCAGTAGGACTTAATCTCCACATGGTGAGTTTGACATGAAAAAACTAACAACATAGGTTCATAACAAGTGAAAGAGTATAGCATGCGCAACATTAGCGGAGTTGAAGAGGCATGCCTCTTAGGTTAACATGGTAAGCACACATTCATGCTTAGTTTCCATAACAACAAGTTTATAGTAAAGCATGAACCAGAATTAGCCTAGAAGAGACTCAAAACTAGGAATCTAAGGCATGAAGGTCTGATAGAGTCATAGTCAGAGAATGACAATTACACATAGTAAACAAGCAAGCAGACATAGTTTATAAAAGTCGATAAGAATCCTAATCATGCTGAATATAACACAAAGATTTCTAAGTCCAAAGACATCATGGTAGGAAGATATATCAATCTTAAGGTCAAAGAATAGACAGACTTCAGAACATAAGCCAGTCAACTATGCATAATAATATAAACCAAGTGTATTTGGGGTTTAACTAGAAACCTAGGCAATACTAAAGAATGCAAGATTGACCAAACGCCATATTAGGCAACATGTTTGGCTAGAGCGCTGAGACAGACTGGCATATAAGACTCATATAAGCATAAAGCAGGGAAACACTAGAACATACATGAAGGATTCATCAGAGAGTAATTCAATTCAAAACAAGTTCTGGGCAGGATATAATCCCCTTAAGAATACAAATATCTAAGATAAGGCATGTGAAAGGGTTCATGAGGAGCAAATAGGTGATTAGAATAGCAGGACAACTTGAAGGTAATCAGAAATCATTCAAATTGCACATATATAACAAACCTGCGTCGAAGCTTAAAATTTAAGCAGGTTTAGATACTAAAAACATAAAGGCACAAAATAATTCCAAAGCAAACGAGAATACCAATGGAGGAAAACAATAGCATATTGATTTACAAAAGCCTAAATAACATGAGCATACAAAGCATGAACACAAGCAAGATAGAACGGAATTGCGAGAGCCTCCGTACTTACCGGTTTGCAGAACTAAAAAGCAAATAAGGTAGAAAACTAAATACCAGCAGCAGCTCGTTTATCAGTAGAAAGGAAAGCAGCAGAAACTCCAAAATTCTCAGTGTGTCAGTGTTCCCAAAGGTCACAGATGAACCCCGGGTAGTGCTCACACTAAGAGAGATTAAACAATAAAATTTCTGTGTCCTTGGCTTTCGGCCGGTCAAAATCAAATTTTAGAACAATAGAATAAGTGAGAATGAGAGAGTATAGCCGTGGTTCCGGCCTTTTTTTAGGGGGATTGGGCAAGGGTTTATATAGTAGCAAAATTAAACAAACAAGCAAGACAAATGACCAATCAAACATAATAAGGGAAATCATAGCATACAGAATCGGATTAGGAGAAAAATCAGGCAAACTCTAATTTGACCGAAATTAAAGATTGGCCGAAGAATTTGGTAAATCGGACCCATTTAACCTTGCTATGATGCATATAGATGAAAAATCATCAAGAACTTGAGGGTCTGGAGATGATTGTGCTTGATTTAAGACCTGATACTTACCAAAGATAGGCAAGTATTATGTGATACCAAAACCGTATAAATAACAGAGAGATCGAGCATATATGGAAGGAAAATTATGGAGAGATTCCATATTAGAGTTAGAGTTGAGGAGGATAAAGGAGGCAGCTGCTAGGGTTTCAGAGGAGAAAAGAGAACATTTGAGAGGGTTTGGGGGGCGGCTGTTAGGTGGGAAATTAGGTAGGTTTTCTGGGTTTGGTTAATTAAAAGGGCTTGGGTGAGCGAGGGTCGTTGATCTCGTTGATCTTGAGATAAACGGCCAGGATTTAAAAGATGAACGTGGCGGGTCGTTTAAAACGGGTACTGACCGAGTTTACTAAAAGGTCGTTTGGTTTGGGATCAAGGCTATTGGGCTAGGTTTTTTGGGGTTTGGGCTAATGTGTTGGGTCCGAATTTAACTCAAAGGTTGGGACATAGTTTAAATAAGCGAAATTTATAAAAAGTAATTAATAAATAATAAAAATATCACTTATGCAGTAAAGTGTTTGAAAATAATAGCTTATCATTATAAAAATATAAAAAAAAATGCTAAAATAGAGTAGTAAATGCAATTATGTATAGAATATAAGCTATTGTTGCAAATTCACGTAAATGGCTAAAAATACAAACATAATTATATGAAATGAAGTATAAAATGTAATAAACATATATGTGGGTGTAAATAATAAATTTGGATGATTAAGTCATCATAAAATTATTTGAAAGAGTAATTAATAAATATTTGAATAATTTAAATGCAGGAAAATCAATTTTAAAGCTTTAAAAATTATGAAAAATTACAAAGAAGTTCTTGTAAATTGGTGATGATGCAGAAATGATATTTGAAAGTATATATGATGTTTATAAAAATATGAGGGCAAAATTGGGTATCAACATGGGTGGGGTGGAAGGGGGTGGAGTAGAGGTTGGTAGGGGTGGGGTTAGGAGGGGGTGCCGTAGGCGTGGGTGGAGGGTTGATGGGGGTTTGAAATAGAGTGGGGAATGTTGAAAAATATTTTGGAAAATATGCTCTCCTTTTGGTTAGGAAAACAAGAGCATATTTTCCAAATATGTAAGCCAACTAAACATGAAAAAATTAAAAAATATATTCCAGAAAATGTTTTTCTTCGTAACAAACACACTCATAATGGAAATTCTACGAATTTTGAAGGCTCCGATTTCTTGGTGTCTAGCATCAGACCTGTTCATACTAATAAAAGAAAAACCTTCTGCGTAGCTAGGGGACAAAATATCTTATAGAACTGGTGAAAGAACAAGACACCCCTGTGGTCTCAGACTCTCAGTGGTGTCAAAACAAACCACAGTTTGCTTTGCTCATGATATAAAAGAATGATTTACAATTGTTTAAAATTTACAATTAACTCTTTAGTTGACGTTACAGATAACGAATGCAAAAGATAAACAGACGCTTTCTGGCCCCAAAAGTGGACTACCGCATGAAAGTAGAAAGGATCTTACCAATCATCTAGGCTATATAATGTAAAGAATTTAGAACAAAAGCAGCACTAAACTAGTCGGAGAAGTTTGATTTGACTTCGTCATAATCGTCATCATCTGAATTAGCTAGGTGGTCAAAGAAAGCATCAAGGTACCAAGGGCATTTGTCGTTCCATGAACTCCTGTTAGCATGAGCTCGCCATTTTTGGTCCGAAATCATTTCAGGTGATAGTCCCCATTCTAGCATCTCTTCTTCAGTATGGTGGACTGCTAAACTGTATTCGCCACCAAGTCCTAATTGTATAACTCGAAATTCACAATTCCCTAAATTGTTTAGGTACTCAAATTGCTCAACTGTCCACTTGAACCACTTCATCAGAAAGACACGACTAGCTAGCCCATGGGATATAATCACAAGATTCAAATCGTCATTTGGGTCATGGTGGAGTCTGTTCATATCAATGTCCCTCCAAAGAGATTCAAGGAAACCTGAAAGAAAAAGCATTCAACACGCAGTTCAGAAAAATACTACCAAAAGTTAATAGAATTAACACTTCAAACTGAATAATTGCATCTCAATTGAGAAAGTTCTTGCTACTTTTTTCTTTTTCTTTTTTTTTTTAAAAAAAAATTAAGCACGGTGCACTGAGCAAGTTGCCACACTCTGTTTCAGCATAATATGACGGTACAGTATTCTTTACACCAGTTCAGCATCATCATTAGCTGAGCCTATATTATTTCGGGATCAAGGTATAAATTAGTTTTAGGCCAGATGATGCCGAATCCTTAATTCAAATTTACTCCAGTAAGGCCGAAACAAGATCACAGATTGATTTCAACAAATAAGGATTTATTGCCAAACTTGGATTAGCAATTCAACTTGCTTGTACAATATGAAAATTAGTTCAGACACCAAATTATTGAATAAAATATCTCAAATGAAACACCAAATACAATAGCAAACAGATTGAAGAACCATCGCATTCCTTATATATTAAAATAATAGACAATTTTTTATCAAATTAATTTTCATTTACCACCTAAAGGATCTGCATATGGTGCAGGATCCAAGGAATTTTCAGGTATTTGTGCACTCACGGTGTGTATATATTGTATTTTATTCACTTCCAAAGGGATCAAAAATCTGTAAAGCTGTCTTGGTCATTTAGATTGTTTCGCCAAAATATGATAATAAGGTAGTCAAGCAAACTAGAACATCTTATCCCTGGCCAGCAGTACCCCTTCGAGTAAATCTAGTAGTATGAATACCAGAACTATCGAAAAACTGTAAATAGCATGATATGTATAGTGCACAAATGCAAATATACACGTATTTGAAAACAATTTGTATCGTAAAATATATGAGGACTGCAAAACAAAACAAGACCTGCAACTCCCTGCATTTTTTATGCTTCTTGGAAAAATTGATCATTCAGCTATAATCCTTTTCATCAAATACTGACCTCAAATTGAATATCTCAAAGCTGAAAAAACTTCTTATCATTGTGATATTGCATGAAACAGTCAGTTCTCTTCAATAGATATTTCAAGAGAGGTGAATGTCAAAGAAAGTGGACGAGCGGAGGAAGACGTTGAGTAACACAAGAAAAGGAGAACATTTGTTTAACCTTTTTAGGCAAGGAGAAAGCTCTGACCAGAATTTCATCTCAAGAAACAGCTTCACTTTTCACTCCCCCCCCCCCCCCCAAATTTAAAAAAAAAACAAAAAAAAAATGGAGAACTATAATTGGCCTAGGAAATCCTAAGAGTGTTTTCTTCTTCTTCCTTTTTTTTTTTGGATAAAGCCTGGGAAATAATTATAGCAAATAAAAGAAGTATGACTACCATGAACATGCAACTGTTCTTCAGCACCATTAAATGCATAATGTCAATTGAGTATAATTTTGAAGTAATTGAATTTCTGACACATGACATGATATGGGTGACATCAGGTAAGAGTGTTATCCAATAAAAGCAAGTCCAGAACCACTTTATCACATAATGGAACAACAAAAAGTATTATGTTACTTGAAGACTATAATTTTTTATAAGTGAAGATTATATTATTTATATCGTAGTCTGTTGTCTAAAAGGCATCAGAAAGGCGTAAGCAGTCCTGCTATCATATTCTTAGTTAAGAATGAACAGGAATTCTTCGTATACCAAGCTCTCGTTCATCCTGGACAATATGCTGGAAGGACCAAATCTTATATATTCAGCTTTACATAAAAAAAAAGGCAGGAAACATCTCGTAGACAACAGCACTTCTTCTGGTTAATAACATCTAGTGTGTTGGATGAAATTAGCCATCTACTGGCTGCATATTAAAAGAGTAGCATGCTTTCAATCACAAAAAAACATTGACATAAACCAATACACAACTGTAAGACATGGACAGGATAATTTTGGTCACCAACAGATATGATAACAACCAGGGGCTCCAATAATAATTGAGAATACTGGACAGGATAAGTTTCAGGTGATTCCTCTGAACAGTCAAAACATTGAAATGCAATAACAAGGAAGAATCAAAGAGTAGAAAATCACAACCTGGCCATCTTTTCCCCACCTTACCCCTGATGGTTGTAATCAGTGGCTTACGCTTACAACACTTTTCTTCTGCTTTTCTTTGTTTTATTATCAGGTTCAACGTTATACTGAACTACGTTCACGCACAATATAAGGAACACATTGCAATGTAAAATTACTATCAGGAATATGTTTAACATGGACATTATCTTAAGGGGTGGACATACTAGAACCTATACTGCCTCTTTGTGATCTCATATCAATATATGCCCATGCTGGTGATAGACGTCAGTCATGGTTTGATAATCTTTGGTGGAAAACTTAACTAGATAAGGTTACTCTAGGAAACGGAAGTTCTCCAGGAGATGGTGTCTAATCATTCCCAGATCAGCACAGCCATCACACCCGCCTGCCTTTGCTACGGGTGGGGAAAAAATGCCTATGAAAATTATAGTTCCACTTTTATGTCTAATCGTATACGCCACACGGAAGTGCAATGTTCCTAACTAATTTGAGAAAATCAGCTAAATATATTAATAGCAGAGATCAAATTTTGGGCCATCAACAGGGGTATTCATTCTCAAGTTAACAATCAAAATAAAAGATAACAAACTCTATTACACCAAATTTAACAGTACTTTCCAACAATCAAGTATCCAATTTCTACTGTGTTTGACTAAACATGAATAGACAGCCTCTGAGAGTCAATCTTGAAGCTACCTCTGCTACTCCAATGTGCAGGACATTCACAGGAATCAGCATTTGAACAATATAGAGTTTAAATCCACTGGGAAAAAGGAAGAAGGAGAACAAGAAGAGGAAATATGTCTGAAGCAAGAAGGAAAGAGAGAGGAGAGAAGAGGAGAGGACCAAATAAGAGGAGTAGAGAAGGAAAGGGAGAGAGATTCAGATAAGTATATCAGAGATAGAGAAGAAGAGAGGGGAAGAAGAAGCATCGAGAAAAAGATGCTCTCAGATTTTCCATCTTTTCTCCACTATAGGTTCCCTGTATTTATACATGAAGTGTATGGCTTGTGGGTGGACGTAAAGGGAAATGCATGAGTTGTTGTGTTACTTTCTGTGTCCCAATTCAACTTGCATTGCCTCTCACCACTCAAAACTTCTGAATTTGTTTTCTAGGTACATATTGGGTTCAAAACAAAAAGAATTGCACCTGAACTTATCTATCTACTTAGTGTCTTAGAACCTGGCGAAAAAAGTCCCAAGGCTATGCAGTAATTCTTATATGAAGCCACTCCAAAATAAAATTAATCCATCACAGTTGAATCTAGATGAAGCTTAGTGACATTAATCTTGGGTCAAAACTTGATCAAATGTGTCTTAGCAACCAAAATACAATTTTGTCACAAATACAACAGAACATCATACACTAAAATAACTAATTGAGTTTAACTTTTGTGCCCCGACATTAGCATTAGCCAAACTCATTCTATTACCCGATCTTAGGGGGACGATTGTTCCTATTTTAATCTGTGTTGAGGGACTTATATGGATATGCAGGAAGGGGTGCTCCTGGGTGTGTGTGTGTGTGCGCGCGTGTGAATTGTGTGTGTTCACGAGAAACATATCTTGACAAGTAAGTTATCAGGTTAAGGTGACATGCAACCACAACTAACTGTTTATAACTAAGTGTCTATAGTAAGCATAATTTGATAATTAACTTGCTAAAAAAAATTAACTTTGGCCGGAGGGGTATAAAAAGTTAAATCTAATTATATAAACATCATGAAAAAGGATCTTACTGGAAACTCTGTCATAAACATCAGCAGCTGATTCTCCCTCAGGAAATCGATAAAAGAAGCGGCCAAATCTCTCGCGAGTCTCCTTAATGACTTTCATGCGCTCCGCCACTTGAAAATTCCCAAAATCTTGTTCTCTAATTCGGCATTCTTCCCTGACGCCAAGCACCCTCCGTCTCGAGAATGCCCTGCCCATCTCTCGTAGCGTGGAACGTGTTCGCATGTAAGGGGAAACGTAAAAGTAGACCTTCCAGTTATCGGACGTGCCATTATCAGAAATCACGTCAAAAATGCGGGACCCAGCTTCCTTTGCTTGACCAATTCCCTTGGGAGTTAACGGGATCCTATAATCGGGTGTGACGGTGTACATGGCGTCGTCCCTATTCCCTTCGCTCTCGCCGTGGCGCACCAAAATTATGCGCTTTGGTAGGCACTTGGGTATGGGCTTCTGCCGATTATTATTATTATTATGACTATCAAAATGGCAACAATGGCAGTGATGTTGGTGATCAGGAATTTGGGCGTGGCCGTTGTCATCAACGGTACTATTTATCATTATTCTTTCTATTAGCTTTCAATATCGGGTGAGATTATGAGAAAATGTGGACATTAAGATAGGGTTTTGGGGAGGAAAAAATGGCGGATTGGATATGAATCCCTGCCAAATTGATTGATTTTGAAAGTCCCTATTTGGGAAGGAGGTGACTTGGATTTTTTGCTTACTTGGAATATAGGGGATACTTTTACATTTGAACTTTGACGCGTGTGATGCCATCTGATTTTGATTTTGTGCCATACTTTTTTTTTTTTTTTGGAAACTTACACAAATGTCCCAAATAAATCTCAACTTACCAATTTTTAGCCATTAATCATAGACTTACCAAAATTAGCCAATAAAAATTGAAAAACCAAATAATATGGTTCTTTCTCTCAAAGAATCACATGCAAAAATCACCTTCCATATTTTTAAGCGTGATCAGCAACACTAGATAAACGGAAAGGAAATTTTATGGATGAGGTAGCAAATAAGATGATGAACTACAAAAAATATATTCAATATTCCAAAGTTCTAAACAAAAAAGGAATTTTTTCAATGGGTATAGTTGAAATTCATTGAAAATATATAGATAAGTCAATATACAAAATTTGAGGAAGATTGGAGGTGATTTGGACTGGTTTTGTATCAAAATTCGTAATTAAATCGAGTTCAAAAAAGTCCTCTGCGACACATGTATCAAACATGTATCACGCATGTATCTCACACACAGGTATACATGGATATACATGTGATACATAATAGACACAAATATGATACATTGTGATACACAAATGATACACAGTGTGATACACATATCATTTTTTTCATGTTCAGTTTTTATCGAATTTTCAATTCAAACCACCTCAAAACTTCACCAAATCATCTCAAAACTTATATTCAAGCTCCTTAAGTTGTGCCCAATCTATTCTAATAACACCCACTCAAAACAAAGCAAAAATTTGATATTTTTTTGCTACAAATAGCTAATTGGCTAATTTGGCTAATATTAGTAATATTTTATCAATTGGCCAATTTTTGTAATGAGCTACCTATAAATGGACATAGCTGGTAATTTCCCTTTTTTTTTGTCCTTGAGTTAATACCCTAAAATTCCCCTAGACTAGGGGTGTCACTGTATATTTGAAAACCGACTAAACAGATCAAACCGTACTACACCGAACCGATTTTTAGATTTTCTTTAAAGAAATCGTACGTTTTTATACAAATCTATAACCGTACCGATAATTAGGGTAGGTTTTTTATTTTATAAAAATAACCGAAAAAATACCGAACCGTACCGAATAAATTTTAAAAGTGGAATATTTATATAGTAAGTTTAAAACTAGTGAAACATTAAATTTTTCGTTGGGACTTAGAATTATGAAAACTGTTACAAGCCAACAAGTAATTAAACTCAAAATACTAATTCCTAAAACCTATTATGCTACTTATACTTACACTAAATTATTTCAAGTAGCTTTATTAGCAAGACACAAAGTATTCTAGCGATTATGAGTAGCAAATTATAATGTATTGAATATGTTTTCTTTCATATAATTTAGATTTATCTTTTTGAATATTTGATATAGACTTTATTCTTGAGTCTTAGTTTGGTTAATATCTTTCCACTCGTGTGATTTATATTTTTTTTGCTTTTACTTGGTTTCTTTTACGTTGCTGTCGAATAGCTGATGGATATATACTGTAGCTATCTTTCATGTTTTTTAAATTCATCACCCTTTAAATAGTAAAAATGTCTAGAAAATTTTGCTAAGTCCTATAAAAAACGTATGTTATTGCATTCTACTTCTACTAGTGAATTTTACATGACATTTACAAAAAATACCGAAAATTTACCGAACCGTGCCGATACCGAAGTGAAACCGACATGATTGGGACGATTTCAAAAAGTCTAATTTTGGTTATACATAATAGAGTAACCGAAAAATTGGTATGGTACAAATTTTATAAAGTAACCGGCCAAATCGAACCAATGACACCCCTACCCTAGACTATCACATTTTTATCAGTTTTCTATTTAAACTATTCGGTGTCTTCAAAACCCCCTTAACTATATTGCCGCTCCTATTAAAATCCCCTCATCGTTGACCTGAAATAACATGTGTAAATACTCGCTTGGGAGCGCGTGGTAGCTGAAAAGAATCATCAAAATGACCCACCTAACAGATTATAATGGCTAATTAGCCTAACCCTCTTTCAATTTTTTTTTAATAAATATTCTCCTTATTTCGGTTATATCCATCTTTCTTCTTCAATTTTCACCATTCTTCCTTATTTTTTCACCTTCTTCATTTTTAACCTTTTTTCTTCGGTTCTCCATATGGATTTCCTCTGTAAAAATTCTCCCTCTCTTGTTTCCTGAAATTATTTATTCTCTTTATTGTTTTAGTCTTCTTTCATGTCTTACACATATTGTTGAAAGAATACCAATTTAAATCTTCTTATTAAACTCAACACATTTGTAAAGAATAAAGTTGAATCTCTTGAACTTTCTTTATGTAATCTGGAATTAGAGAATGTAATTGTTGGACAATTGATTTTTTATTTGTAAAATTTTAATTCGTGTAATCTTTTATATGTAATATAAGATGACGTTTAAGAAATACAACATTATATGTCTTTATTTCTATTTTTTCTGTGCTACAAAGTGAATATAATAAGGACTTATCAATTGGAGTCTAGCATAAAACACAATCATAATTAAATTTAAAATTAATACAGTACATTAGATATTTTTTTAAGCCAAAATTCCTAGAATTAATCAATCATTCGAGTGTAATACATCATGAGTAAATTATATAAAACACTTTGTACAAACCATAAGTTAATATAGTTAGACAGACGTACGTTTAAAAGTCCAACATAAGGTTTTAATATATAGGAAAATATAGTTTAGGGGAGTTTTGGGGACACCAGATAGTTTAAGTAGGTAACTAACAAAAAAGTGGTAGTTTAGGCGGGTTTTAGGTAGAGTTAAATAGCCATGTGTAGTGCTACATGGCACGTTTTTTTAGACAATTAGGAATGTGTACAAGACGCGCCTCTAAGAATGCAATGAGGGGATTTTAATATGAAAGGCAAAATAGTTTCGGGAGG